AAAAATAAAATGAACATTTCCAGAGGTTCGAGATTTTCCCTCCAGCCCTTCTGCTCTCGATTAGACTGGTCTCCAAAGCAGGCCCCGAGCAACAAGTCTGTGTACGGATTATTTATACCGAAACAACTTCTCGAAAAGCAAAATGAGGGTACCTGTAGTTACCAAAATAACCTTGTTAGGTTTTACACAAAACATCCTTTGTCCTCTGTAGGAAAACGCGACGCACCGCCTGCCGACAATAAATAGACGAATAAAAGACAGATTGTCCACGTAACTTACGCTCCTTCTCCGTGTTTGTTAGGGCTGAATTGGACAGAGTAGTCTGCGCTGCTGCCTCAGCAGGTCCCCGCAGCTCAAATATAGCAGCTCCCGCAGGTGGATCCGAAGGTAAAGGAGAATGTTGCTCATTAATCATGGCTCTTTTGGCGCTTCTTTGCCCTTTTATGGTACGATGGCCTCGCGTCGTGCACACCAGGAATTAAAGCAACAAAAGAACCAGGAAACCCTCTTTTAGTTTGAAAATGGGGATATAGGTTAGCTTGAATAGAGCAGTTAAAAAAAAATGCATCCAGTTTTGCTCCCACTTAAAATGCATCATTGCACGGGTCGTTTATTGCACTCATAGCGTGAGTTTATTTTCCAAAGCAACACAATCGATATCAGATTAAAACTCAAATGACCAAATAGCATATTTTTAAATAAGATGAGTCTGTCTCTCTCTTCCTCTGACAGCTGACATAAGCTTGAAATATAAATACTCTGGTCAAAGCAGTGTTGTGCACACACAATTATGACATGCGATGCTGCAAGTTGTCACAGTTCAGCTTGTCATCAGGTGGGGATGATGACACCGCCGTGTAACTTGTGGTGAGGGTGGGAGGGGAGTGACAGGACCAGCGGGGGCACCATGCTTGTCAATAGCCTAACCTCGATGTTTTAATCAATAGTTTCTTTTTGTCCCTTCAATAAGCCAAGTGCTCGATAAGGTTGTCATCACAGATGACGCTGACGTCCTCGCTCTCATCTTTGCCCTGGATAAACATGCCTTTCTTATGCCAGTAAATCTTTACCCCGGGGACAGTGGCGCGCATGGCTGCATACATTTAGAGACTTTGGGGTTGAGTCAAGCAGACGCGTGCAGCTTCTCAGGGGGTTGGAAATGAACATAGGTTTGCTTTTCTGTCTGCTGGGTTTAGGAAAATTTTAACCATAGCATTTGCTCTGACAACGAATCGAAAGTCTGCAGCACTCTCTCCTCCTTAGAAATGACACATAGGAAAAAAACTTTAGAGGTAAACGCACTTTAATACACATGATTGACCCGTAAACGTCTCTCTGGACCAAACAGTTGTGTGCTTCACTCGATTTAACAGCTAGCAGGTTAAAGCTTCAAACGTACAAAGCCATAAAATGACCGATTCTGCAACTGATAAAACTCAGCTCCTCACTAATAATACATGAAAGCATTACGCATCATGCAAACCTCACGCAACAGACAAACAGTTGACACACAGAGACCTGAAACACAGAAGAGACAGTGTTTAAGTGGCTACTGGAACAGTGTACTCATTAACGATTTCATAACCGAGGTTATCTCGTTGATTGTGTGATGCCTAATTGATAGCATCCGGTGCAATCAGACTGGCTGGGGTGCACAAGTTTGGCAAATCTGAGGTATTTGTGAGTGCAGATTTGTGACACTTGCCTCTTCAGAGGCAGACTTAAAGATGGCGCTGAGTGTCCCTTGCACAACATAATTTTGGCGAATTGCAATTTCAAAAGCGAATGGACAGATTTTAACCAATGCACTTTGTTTTTTAGGGCGACAAGGCTATAGATCTTGCAAACACAACACACAATATAAAACGAATATGGTCCAGAAGGGGTCCGTGAGTTCCCCAATAGTGCATTGTTCACATCATGTATGTGCACAACTGTCATCCATTAACAAATTTTTGCCTTTGATACACTTGTATGGAATTTGGTATACACAGGCCGCCTTGACCCATAGAAGTAAAGGGGTCACTTGACCCTCAGTTGGAGGCGAAAGGATCAGCCCCCGTGGAAGACACAGTGGAGGATGTGGGAGAAGGAGTAGATGGGGCTGAGATAGATTTCTCGGATGCTGCATCGTCCATTTTCTCCTGACTGCTGTCCGAGGATGTAAGTTTGGCTGGCAGCAGCCCTTCTTTCTCTCGCTTTTTCTGCTTCATCCTCCGGTTCTGGAACCAAATTTTCACCTGAGTCTCATTCAGTTGCAGCGCGGCTGCAATTTCTACACGGCGCGCCCGGGTCAGGTACTTGTTGAAGTGGAATTCCTTCTCTAGTTCCGTCAGCTGTTTGGTTGTGAAGTTGGTCCGGACCGTGTTCGGCTGACCAGCATAACCATACTCACCAGACCTCCCTGCAAAGAGGAAAACAAATCACTGTAACTCTGAAGAAGAGGGTTTTTTTCTTCTCTGATCAGAGTACACATATGCCTTGAGACTGTACTGTGTCTGTGCAACAAGACTCAACTTTTAGGTACGAGCCAAATAGCATTAGCTACTCGAAAAAACATCCAACAACGGCCTTAGAAGAGATTCAAATATTATACAACACATGTGTTATCACACAGGTGGATTGCGTTAAAATGAAAGGATCTAAAGTACTACATTAAAAGTTAAGTTCATATATTGGTGTTTCGTGTGCTTATTTTATTTTTTGAAAAACTTCCCAGTTTAAAGATTTTGGATCATTTATAAGACAGCATTTTTGTGCACCCGCACTTTCACCCACTATACTTGGCACCAACCTGTTTTTGGTGGATTCCTCTTAACTTTCATCCAGTCAAAAGTCTGTGCAGACGATGCGCCCTCAGACAGAGGTGAACAGCAAGCCTCCAGATGAGCTGCATGCAGAGGTGACAGCGGGTTTGAACACCCTGGATAAGGGGGCGCTTGCTCGTGCCCGCCGCTGTAGGCAGTGTGGCTATACTGCAGTTGACCCAGGGGGGCGGCACTGTAACCATGGCGATGCTGAGAAACCATGGAGGAGGAAATGTTACCAGAGTACATCAGTGGGCCGCACTGAGGGAATGCAGCTGCGGTGTCTACTTCCTGGGCGAGGGCATGGTGGTTATAATTAGTGCAGAAACTTTGGGGTCCATAGTTAGAGCTGCAGGCCGGGTGCGCCCCATAGGGGAGACTTAGAGAGCTGGCATTAGACTGGTACGACCCCGGCTGGTGAGAGACGCAGTCAGGAGAAGCTCTGCTCACCATGAAATGGTCATCCACCCCGCAGTTGTTAACAGTGGCCCCGCACGACTGGAAAGTTGTAATCCCGTGGTCCGAGTGAAAAGCCCTAACAGTGCATGAGCCACCTTCCCCGCTCATCACCGTGTAGTCTAAGAAACTGCTCATTGTAGCATTTTTTCTAACCGGAACGAGGGACCGTCCTCTGCACAGACAACCCCCTGATGTCTTCCTTTCTCCCCTCTTACCCCGAGTGACCGTGCCAATCTTTACCTATACTAGGTCTTATCAGAGAAGGGAGGGGGTCGCACGGGCCGATATCAATGAACGGGTTCTGTCACGTGGGCCCGGGTCAGCCAGTGAGGTACTTGTCCTTATCCCTTTAGCCGGTGACAGATTGGTGTTTGAGGGGCTATTTAAATTCCAAGCACTCGTCGATCAAGGTGACGCGCGTCGCCACTAATGTATTGGCCGAGCAAACAATGAGCTGCGAGGCAGACAGCGGTGGACAGCTTCGGGGTCGCATGAAGACCGGGGCCACTGTTAAAACTGTTTCTTCTAAGCTCCACTGTGCGCTCTTCCACGACCACAGAGAGAGATTAACGTTTGTCCCTCTGCACCCTCGCCATGAGGACGACCTAGCACTCTGACCTCAGGTAGGTATTTTTGGAACAGAGACGAGAATAGGTGTGTGTGTGTGCGTGTGTGTG